TCATGGGGAGGGGGTTGCACCCGAAACAAAATTGAGGGGGAGACCGTGCCGAGCCAAGGAAGGCCAGCATTTCAGGGAGAAAACTTGGGCAAACTTTTTTGTTTCTGAAAACGAGTGCCATTGTTTTCCAGGTTCGGGGATTGAACTAGGAGCTTTTAAAAGCAAGTCGGCGCTCCCCTCCAGATTTCCTTCCCCGAAGGTGCTTCTAAATTGCTTTTAAATTCAACTGCATCTAACGACTCTTGTCCACCGACTCGTGTCTTAAATACAGCTAACTTCTTTGGTGGGTTTACCCATACTTTTTTTTTTAGTTCAAGGGGGACCACTTTGCTGTTGGTTTTGGCTTGGTGGTGCCGTCGTGTAAATGCAAAGGCAGGAAGGGAGTCCAGTTCATCAACCGGGGAGCAAACGGATTAATCAATCAACCGTCAGTTAGCTGGTGATGAAGGGAATCAAGCTGATGGTTCTGTGCGGATTTCTGTCGGAAGGGCCTTCAAAACGGTGAGCGAAGCCTCTGCAGGGCCCCGTCTGGGGTGAAAACCACGAATACCCCGTTCATCTCCCGGTTTCCCAGTCCGCTGGAGGAATGGGACGGAGTGCAGTGTAGTTCGCCTTCCTGCTAATATTGCACTTGTCCCGGCCTCCTGCTGTCTTGGGCAGATCTACAGAGGCCTCTCTTCAAAAACAACAACAACCCGGCATCGGAAAGAAGGGGGCGAAAAGGTGGACCCAAGCCGGAACACCTTGGGTTTTGGTCCGAACATTAATAGCAAGTGATCTACTACCAACTGGTACAGAAGGCTTGGAAGTAACTTGTTATGAAATTCCCTGTTGCTGATTCCTGCCCACGATATTTTCAGGTGCCGCTATATGACCTCGCACTTCTTTAATTTGTTAGGCAAGGCTTTGTGGCGAAATGGTAACTTCTTAAACTGCTTTTCGAATTCTCGGGGGAGTGGGGGGAGGAATGTCTTCTTTAAATAGCAGAAGAGGAAGACCGCATGGTTGTGACTTCGTCCTGCCATTGAACGAAAAACATGCAGCTATTCGTTCTCAAAAAGCAATTCCAAATTCACAATTATCACGAGCAATTACTTTTTAAGGCCTGTAACTGTAATGTTAATGAATTCCTTGCGGCA